TTCTTCGGGTCGGACGACGCGCAAGGGTCGCAGCCTTTCGCCCATTTGCGCGCGTGCCCATTCGCGTCTGCGGGGCGCGCGCGGGTCGCGAGCAAATAGATGTCGCCGCTGACAGGCGCGTCGCTCGTCGTCACTGCCGCTCATTGACAAGCCCATTGGCCAATGGGCCCGGCGCCGCTGCCGCCCAACCAAACTGCCTGCGCCCAGTGGCCCATGGCCCAGCCCACGGACGGTGGCCCGATGGCTTCCCAGCGACGACCACGCGGACTGCCTCGGCCGCCCGTTTCGCTGGAGACGTCGGACTCCGCTTGAACTCTGCTGGGCGGCGGCGCCGACCTGGCTGCGCTGGCGCGGCGGCGATGGGGGCCCGCTTCGGGCAGTCGGCGTGGCCCCCGCGGGACTGATTCCTCATGCTTGGCGCGGGGGAAGCCCAAGCGGCCGCGGGGCCCCTGGGCCATGCGCTGGTCATGCGCCAGCGCCGCCGCGAGCATGGGGGGTGGAAACCTGAAGAAAAGCTTCGCTCCAGCGATGCGTTTGGGGCGCGCGGCGCCGATGCCCGCGCCGAAAACAACGCCTTGAATTGCGTTAGAAGACCCAGGCTGCGCTAGATTGCTGAGGGCTGCTTTATTCAACGTTTGAATATTCGGCGCAGTTTTGCGATTATTCAGAATATTCCGCGCGGATTATCCGAAGTCCCGGGGAAGTCCCGGAGAAGCCTTCTCCATGGATATCAAGAGCATCGTTTTTGTGAGGAAGTCTCAGCTAGAACGCCCATTTTGGATTTCATGTCGAAGTCCCGGGGAAGTCCCGGGGAAGTCCCGGGGGGGGGGGGCGGAAAACCCTAACGGGAAATTGCGCAATACTTCAAACTAATAGAAACGAGAAACCTCACAGAAAATCCGATACGGAACGACGTCGCCAAATTGAATCAAGAAATTGCGCGCAGCGCGCAGCCCGCAGCTTTTCCGGCAGTCCTGTGAGAAAACATACCCTTCCCTGAGGCACCGGGTTGCTTAAATACAGCAACCAAGGGTATAAGCACATTGTTGCTTTTTTAAATAGCAGCCACGATAGCCAAAATGGCTGGCACGACATCAGTTTATGGAACTTTGGCGAGCGCGAACGCCCGATCGCCCCCGTGAGCCTGAGCGCACGGAAGCGCGTGATTTCACGCTGAAGCGCTGATCTCCGTATAGCTATCACGCGCGCGGCAGAGTGCCGCCGCCGCCCGCGAAACCGCGCCCGCCGCCGCGCGTTCCCAAACAGCGCGCTCGGCCCGCGATAGCCAAGGCCCGCCCCGAAGCCCGCGTCGGCAAAGCCCCCGCGGCGGCCCCGCGCCGAAGTTTGACCCCGAGCTCGCCGACGGAGTGGCCGCTATGCCGACCCCGCGTCCAAGTCCGAATCCGAGTGGTCCGAGTGTGAGCGTCGGTTCGGGAATTGCGTGTGACCCAAGAAGTCCTTTTGAAATTATTAACTACTTGGACCTGTGACCCACCGCCTTGGACCAAAGCTGGCAAAGAAGACCGCGATGATACATCATGCGGAGATTCACGAGCTCTTGAGCGGCAGCTAGAGGGAAAAGGAGGAGAGGGAGGAGAAGGAGGAGGGAGGGAGGGAGGGAGGGAGGGGGGAGCGAGGGAAGGAGGGAGGCCGAGGGAGGGAGGGAGGCGGAGAAGGAGAGGGAGAGAGGGAGGGGGGGGGAGGAGGGGGGAAGGAGGAAGGAGGAGGAGGGAGGAGGAGGAGGAGGTAAGGAGGAGGAGGAGGGGAGGAGGAGGGGGGAAGGATGAGGAGGAGAAGGAAGAGGAGGACGAGGAAACGGAGGAGGATGAGGAAACGGAAGAGGAGGAGTTCCACGGCGGAAGCGCCGCCGCGACTTCTGGGGAGGGCGGGGAGTTGCATTCATATTGCATAAAAATTGTAAAATGGCGAGGGGTAAGAGGGGCAGGGGGAGGGGGAAGCAGAGAGGGGCAGGAGGGGGAAGGGGGGAGAGAAGGGTGAGGGGGAGGAGGAGGAGGAGGAGGAGGAGGAGGAGAAGGAGGAGGACGAGGACGAAGAGGATGAGGAGGGGATGATGGTGATGAGGCAGATGATGATGATGATGATGATGATGATGGTGGTGATGATGATGATGATGATGGTGATGATGATGATGATGATGATGATGATGATGGTGGTGGTGCGGATGCTGCTTATGCTGATGCCGGTGCTGGTGCTGATGTTGATGCTGCTGCTGCTGGTGATGAGGATGAAGATGATGATGCTGATGATGCTTATGATGAAGACGGTGAGGATGATGAGAATGCGGATGAGGATGAGGATGAGGATGCTTATGCGGATGACGATGTTGTCGTGGTCGCTCTAGCCCTCTCAGGGCCCGTTGCCTCAGCGCGCGGGACACACGGGCTCGCGCACCATCTCGCTGTAAAGGAAGCATATGATGCACTTGCGCTGGCCTTCCGTGATGCCCGAATCTGGGTCATCCTTGTCCTCCTGGGGGCCCGTGGGGGCGCGGGCGGGGGGGGGATATGGGGTGCCCGAAGCCTCGTCGCCGCGGTTCGGATCCACCTTGAAAAAAAGCTGCCTTTCAGGCAAGGGGCGCGTCCACCGGGGCCGACGCGCCCGATCCTGGAACTCAAGCTCGGAGATATCCCCCCCCCGTTTCAAGCCTGACCACTCTGAAAATCTCCCCGCGTCTTCGGCCTCTACCAGCCCCCCTCCTCCTTCCTCCTTCCTCCTTCCCTCCTCTCTCCTCTTTCCTAATTCTTCCCTCCTCCCTCCTCATTCCTCGTCCCTCCCTACTCGCTCCTCTCTCCTCCTCCTCCTCCTCCTCCTCCTCCTCCTCCTCCTCCTCCTCTTCCTCCTCCTCCTCCTTCTCCTCCTCCTCTTCCTCCTCCTCCTCC